GTACCGATTGATCCCGTTAAGCAGCACCCTTGAAACCCCCCCGCTGGCATCTCCAGCCCCTCCGGCCGCAGCTCTCCTCCCGCAGCCGGTTGAGGAGGCCAGATTAACCGACGCTGTCCTCCCCCCCCTCTACCCCCCTCCGCAGAACTCAAGCACGAGATTCTGGTCTGGAGGCAGACGGCTCAGCGTATCAACCCGGCCAGCCGGGAGGAGACGGCGGTGAAGTGCCTCCTGATGCAGAAGGTCCTCAACCTGGAGAGTCTGCTCCGCAAGATGATGAAGACCTTCCACAGGTGTGTTTGCGTGTGAGACAAAAAATACACACACATCAAATCTGATTTAGTTCAAAAGTCCGGGTTTGGTTTCATGTTGTTTGCTGTTCGGTTGTGTGGGAAACAGGCTGAAGTATTACCTGAATAAGGTTTATTATTCCAGGTTCATGAATGACACGTGTGACCCGCGCTCGTTTATGGACATACGAGTTCCTTTGACATGATTTCATTGCTTAAAACACATTCATTTATTTTTGTTTTGAGACAACGGAGGAGCTTCTACTTCTCTGTCTGTAATAGAAGGTTTCCTGCTTCTAACACGAACCAAATGTGGCCCCATTCAACAGTCAAATTTCTCAAGAGGACAAGAACTGGGAGCAGAACATCCAGGAGCTGCAGAAGAAGGTGAGCCGGCGAACTGCATCGACGTCCCCTCAACGACAGCGCCGGGGTCAGCGTGCACGGCGATAACACCAGCGTTGTCCCCGTGTTGTCCTCTGTCCCCTGTCCCCCCCCAGCACAGGATAACCGACACGGTGCTGCTGGTGAAGTGCGTGTCCGTCCTGGCCGTGGTCATCTTCATGTTCTTTCTCAACTCCTTCGTCCCCAGCATTCATCTGGAGCTCGGTGAGCACTGCTGTCTCATTACTGTCCCCCCCCCACCTCGTCCCCCACCTCGTCCCCCGCTCATGCAATTATGAAACGCAGCTTCTTCTGTCCCCCAAACAAAAGCACGGGAGCGATTCGATGGACGCTGAGCTGCATCCACAGCTTCACATTGGGACCAAACCGGCGGTTTCATCCATAACTGTGTTTCCTTATTCAACACAAACGAGCCGTCCTCTCCGTCCCGTGTGAACCGCGGCCGCGGCAATATTTACACGTTCGATGTGCGACTCGCTTTGTGTGCTTCTCGTTCCAGGCCGACAAAAGCTCGTCGTTACGAATGATGACACCGTTTTAAATAATGAATGGATTATTCTGGAAAGTTGCAGCCCTGAACATCAGAACATTTATTATTTTCTGTGTGCGTCAAGTTGCCGGTGTGTGAGTCGATTACCTTAACAACATCTCATTAAATGAAGACCCCCACCGGCCCCCCACCGGGCGCTGCTGAGGCCCTCCAGCCTCCAGTCGTGCTCAGTTAATTGCAGCGGCGGGGGGGGGGGGGGGACGCCTGTCCACACACGTCTCTGCTTAATGCCGCAGGTCACAGTCTTCCTTCACACCTGCTTCAGTTTCATTCACTTCCACGTCTGATTATCAGCTGCTCGCGGGGTCGTGGGTCATGTGACCTACAACTGCAGTGTGGGTAAAACTTTAAACGCAAAAGAAAAATGCTCGCAACAGTGTTTAGAATGTTCACCGTCGGGAACGTAGCAGCTAATCATTAAATAAATACTTAGTTTGCATAAAGAGCAGCTAGATTGTTTAATATTGAGGTTTTCTTGCGTAACGTTTTCTGGCCGCAGCACAAATGTCTTTCTTCTTTGTTGTTGTGCTCCTCACAGACGAGTCAATCACAAGCTGCTTAAGAGTAAAAGCTCTTTTTGATTGGGGAGCTTTCGGGTTTGTTGTTTTTTGCTTCTCCTCAAAGCAGATCAGAGAAATATCCAACGTAGGGCGAAAACCAGAAATGTCATATTTCTCTCTATTATTTTCCTCCTCTGTTGCTTGAAGGAATCATAGATCTTTGGAGCGGTAAGATGCTTATTTAAAGGACACACAGTCAGGAGATAAATGAATATTGAGTCATTATGATGGTAAAGGAAATAATGGAACACCAGTGAGCTCCTGAGTGTGACTCCTGCTCTGGATTGGTCACTAAAGGGGGTTTTATACTGAGGGCCCCTAAACTGTGGACCTGTCTACATCTCTTCTAAACACTCACTTTTACCAGCTGGCTTATTTACATATTTGCCGGATTTTATCTGCCTGATTGTGTTTTGTTTAACTCGCGTGTGCGTATTGTTGTTTGGAAGCTGCCGTATCAATAAAAGACAAACCGAATGAAAAGACGTCACACCACTAAAAGCCCCGAAAGAAGGGAAAGGAAATTGTGTGTGTTTCGTCCTGAGGTCACGCGTGGTCTTTTTGGGCTTCTTCTCAGGCTGGATCGCTATCCTGGGTTCACTGTGGCTGCTGGTTCTGGCGGACATCCAGGACTTCGAGATCATCTTGCATCGGGTGGAGTGGGCCACGTTGCTCTTCTTCGCCGGCCTCTTCGTCTTGATGGAGGTATTTAACTGTTTCAGCCACCAAAGTCGTTCAAAGGTTCTCTTCAGAGTAGATGTTTCAATTTAAATTGATGAATATGATGCGTTCAGGCTCTGTTCAGCAAAAATGAGTGTTGGGAGAAAGTAAATGATCATGTCATGAAATGTAATCTAGTAAAATGTGGAAATGAGCAACAATTAGACGAGATATTACAGGAGAACAAGATGCTTTTACTGACACGAATATGTCGCGGTTTGTTGCACGTTAAACCATGAGCGTGTCAGAGAGCAGGGACGAAGCCCCCCGTGTCCCCCTGCTCTCTGCACGACACCCACAGACACAACACGTCCGTCTAAACAAAAAAAACAATTGCTTTTTGTTTCCCATTCTAATGTCGCCTTGGTCTTGCAGGCTTTAGCTCAGCTGCAGCTCATCGACTACGTCGGGGAACAGACGGCGCTGCTCATCAAAGTGAGTTTTCTCCCCTTGGATTCTCAAAAAAGAAACAATCGTCCCTCGTGGGCGCCGCACGACTGGCAGCATTGATAATTGTGCACAGGTGATGTGTTATTCGTTGCATGCATATTGATCCTTGTCGTTCGGCGCGGTTGGATTTATTGGTCTGCATCTGGGTCCCGTTGGCGGTCGGGGGGGGTCGGGGGGGTCGGGGGTAATCTTTGCAGGCCGTGTGTTTCATGCGGGCCGAGGATTGCTGCAGTAATGGAGACGTCAGCTCGTGTTTCGGGCCGCGGGCCTCGGGGAGGCCAATAATCACACGTGACAGCTGTGAGCGCGACTTTCTCACCTGCTCGGCCTCCACCAACGACAAACTGCATGCTGGGTAGAAGTGCACAGCACCACCCCTGACGCAAAGGGGGGGGGGGGGATCGGTCGCGTTTTCACCATTTTCGGTGCAACCCCTCGACTCCTCCGGCTCCTTCTCCGAGGAAATCCCACTTCCTGAAGTCCCCCCTGAGAAGGAGGGGGGGGGAGGGGGCGAGAGACGAGCAATGAGCCGTGTGCTGTGATGTCCCCTCGCAGGCGGTGCCAGAGGACCAGCGCTTGGCCGTTGCCATCATCTTGGTCATGTGGGTCTCGGCTCTGGCTTCTTCTCTCATCGACAACATTCCCTTCACTGCCACCATGGTGAGGAGCCGCGTCAATGACACTAACCAACCGTCGACCGCTTCCCTGCTGCCCGCCTCATTCTGTTCGGGGACAGCAGAAGAAACGACTCTCAGCCGCCGATGAATTTCACACCGTAGCTGTGACGCGATATTCTTCAGTTCGTTCTGTTACAGCTTATTTACTCTTTTCTGCTCCGCCGCTTTTTGTTGTCGTTGCTGAGAGTCAACAGAGATGAACGCTTGTCTCAGGCGCTCTGTTGAAATGACAGTCAGACCAGCAGAAGACGTGATGCGGGCTGACAGGATGAGTCGGCCGGAGCGTCCAAGACGTCCTTTTCTTTGAGACATTTTCAGGGTGATGCTAAATTTATTCCCCCGATAAAAGAAGACTTCAAACTTGTCAAGAAAATACTTGTTTTTCCACATTCAGAACAATCAATTAAATAATTCTTTTAAATGTAATTGTTAAAAAAGGAATCATATGACAGTTTGGGGAATATGTCACTTCCAAAGCGCTGAACTTGAGACTCAAACAAGCGGGTGACGTCGCAACGACTACGTCCACTTCTTACGTAAAATCTACGATCATTACTTAGTTACCTAGAAAAACAACCAGTCAAAGTAAAGCATCTTCTTGGTCCGTCCAACCGTCTTCTTATGTTTGTAATGGAGATTACTCACTTTGTTAAACTAAAAAACGTCTCTCTGTGGATGTTTTTAATAATTTCCAGTTGTCTCTGTACTTTCAGATTCCAGTTCTCATCAACCTGAGTCAGGACGCAGACGTGAACCTACCGGTGAAACCTCTCATCTACGCCTTGGCCATGGGGGCCTGCCTCGGGGGTGACATGTTTCTGTGTTCTTTGTTTAGAGAGACATGAGGGGGAAGTGAATGAGAGACAACAGCGCGCAGCCGGGAATATGTGGACATGTGACCAAACCCACCGCGTCAACATCTCAGCCTGAAGTAGTGAAATACAGACGGTTGCTTTCTGAAGAAATAACGACAATTAGAAATCGCACACTAAGTGCATGTGACGTACTTTCTGATATCTGAGGGAAGGTGTTTGGTGGACGTGAGGGGAGAACGACGGGACCCGCAGGGGATGAGAGGGTGAGAGAGGGTGAGGGAGTGAGAGTGTGAGAGAGTGAGGGAGTGACAGAGGGTGAGGGAGAGAGGGTGTGAGAGAGTGAGGGAGTCTGCGATGGTGAGAGAGTGAGAGGGTGAGATGGTGAGAGATAGTGATAGAGTGAGAGGCTGAGAATGTGAGAGAGTGAGCTGGTAAGAGGGTGAGGGGTGCGA